TTGTTTTTTCTAATTCATAAAAAATGATTTTTATGGCATTGTTTTTAGGGAAATGTGTTACCTGTGATTCTACTTTGGAGATAGAAGGAACATTTTTTGATGCCATTGCAGATGATTTCTCCATATTTTCTAAGCAATGGTGGTATTTTCTCAGGCTCATGAGTTTATTATCCCTGAAATCAACATTTCAAAAATTATACTATTCTAATAGTCAGCATTCTTATTTGTTTTTACCTTTGAGACCTGTCAAGTAGTGAGAGGCATGTATTAGAGTCTGCTGCTGCTACATGGTTTCTATTTATTCTTCTTCTTCTTTTTCTTTTTGAGACAGAGTCTTGCTCTGTCACCCAGGCTGGAGTGAAGTGGTACCACCTCTGCCCGCTGCAACCTCCCCCTCCCAGGTTCAAGTGATTCTCGTGCCTTAGCCTCTGGAGTGCCTGCCATGATGTCTGGCTAAGCTTTGCATTTTTAGTAGAGTTAGGGTTTCACCATGTTGGCCAGGCTGGTCTCGAACTCCTGACCTCAGGTGATCCTCCTGCCTCAGCCTCCCAAAGTGCTGGGATTACAGGTGTGAGCCACCACACCTGGCCCCTATTTCTTCTGATACTAAAGTCAGGTTTTTGCTGACTGTGTTGAGGATATATTATTCACCAAAAGGTTTATACATAAAACAGGAGGTCTGAAATTTTACTTGATCAAATGTTAATTCTGCAACGATGCTTTGTTTTTGTTTGACTCTACATCTGAACCTATGGTTGTCATTTCAACGTTAGTTAAGTTTTTCGTTGTGCATCTTGTAGATGGAATATTACCGCAATTGCTTTTGCACCAACCTAATATAGTAGATTCTTCTTCCATGACGTTGCAGTCTTTTCTTTTTCCCAGGTGAGTTTATCCTATTTACATTTATTGTCACAGCTGATTTCCTTCCTACTCCAGTCATTGTTGTCGTTAGTTTTAGGTGCTTTCTTATGATTTCCTTTATTTCTATATTTTGTGTTCTTTCAAGATTTATGGAATCTACATCCTTTAAAAAAACCATGATTTACTATTAAAATGTTTAAGAACTCATATTACTCTAACTATAAACTCCAGGAATGAAACATAGCCTTTTGATTATCTCATCTGAAAATGAGGCAAAATACACATTTTTCTTATTACTGTCTTATCCTCTCCCAAGTTTTTCCTCATGGAAAAACATTTAAATAATCAGTAATTGCTTGGAAAAAGAAGAGAAACTGGTTTAAATATAGTTACTGGGTTTAACTGTATTTAAATCCAGTTTCTCTTTTTTCCCCCCCAAACAATTACTATATTTCATTATCTATCATCTCATCACAGGGAGGGACATTTGCATGTTGTTTTGTAGCTATCTGGACATTTGCCAGGACCGAACATTTCGTGTTTGGATGTGTTTTTCTTCACCGTCAGTCTTTCTATGCTGTGATAGTCTTGGTTGGGGATTATCGTTTTATCTCAAGTTAATAGCTGTGACATTTTGAGTTTCATATTGAGGAAGAGTTTAAAACTGCTACATTCAGAGCAGGTGCTTATGAAGGGCTGCCTCTCTATTACCCTCAGGCATGAATAATTTCGGGTCTGGACATGACATTCGACTCTCATTCCCTCCAGCCTCTCTGGAGGTTTCTCTGCTGTTTTCTGGACTTTCATTTTTTTTTTTTTTTTTTTGATGAAAACTAAAGTTAACCCAGCTGATCTCCTGTTTTATAAAAAAAATGTTTCACTCTGGCTGGATGCCTTTAGTGTTCTTTTTGAGTTTCATGCCTTCTAGCTCTCTCTAGAGGTTTCTCTGCTGTTTTCTGGACTCTTCAGTGTTTGATGAAAGCTAAAGCAAACCCTACTGATCTTCTATTTTATATATGAAAAAATCTGTTTTATTCTGGCTGATGCCTTTAGGGCTATTTTTCCCTGAAGTTCCAAAATTAGCCACGGTCTCCCAGGTACGTGGCAATGCTGAGATCCTTACTCTGTTTATAGCCACCAAGCTCCCCGGCCTGTGGCCTCCACCCTTCTTGAATTTTGCTGATCTGTAGTGACAAAAGGACTTCCAAATACAGCTTCCGTCAGCCACACAGCCCACTCACACCCAGCCTCAGCCCACCTCCCTGCTGACCCAGAGGACTGTGAGATCCACATTCCCACCATCCGTGTCCCCTGGGCCACAGAGCTCTCTGGGCACCCTGGTGAGGCTTTCTGGGCACTTTCTTCCCTCCCATGGGCAGGAATGTTGGTGACATCCTCAAAGACTCTTGGCTCTGGGCCACCTTTCTTCACTAGCTTTTTGTATCATGAAGGTTGCCCTCTAGTTTTATATCTTATATGTAATTTCTTTCTTTCTTTCAAGATCTGAGATTTGAGGATGAAGAGGAGAGAGGAGAGGGAGCAGGTAGTTTGGTGGTGAAACATGCGCGTGCCCTCACCCAGTCAGCCAGCTTTTGCTGCACCATGTTATTTTGGGCAGACCCTTGTCACTCCTTAAGTTTCCCATCGACATGCATTCCCCTACGGCTTGTGGAGTTTCTACGGCATGGTGGGAAGTAGTCTTGGTGCCTTGGTCAGTGGTGAGAGGAGCATAGCTCCCATCCTCAGAAGCATGCAGCCCAGGTGGTGGGCAGCAAGAGGTGCTTCACAGGCACCTCCCAAATAGAAAGCTTCCATCGGCCATCCAGTCCACTGGTACCCAGCCCACATCCCTCCTCCCTCATGAGCACAGCAAGTTCAACCAGGAGAGAGTGAGGAGATGCGGGTGAGTGTGGGGTGATGGAAGCCCAGAGGGTGGTCACGGCAGAAGCAGCTAGAGTGGGGGCGGGGCTGGGGGACATTCCAGGTGCAAGAAAGGATGTGAGCAAAGGGCCAGGGACTGCACTTTATGCAGTTGTATGACGTACACTACAGCGGTTTAAACTCGTTTTGTGTTTCATCAGTGTATTTAAAAGAAAGCTGTTTTATTAGATCTCATTAATGTAACTCCTATGCACCATATTGCTATCATTATGGAGTCCGTACTGCATGCCAACACGAGCCAGGTGTTGTAGCAACTCCCCACGCTTCCTGTGTGCTTTTCTTTAAAGATCTGTTAAATTCCTATTACTCATTTACATTCTTAACCATTTAGCTACTGATCCATGCTCTAATAGATGCCATCAGTATATCTGTTTCACCTTTATTTTCTGTTTTCTGTATTTCAGTTTCTCAACTACTTGGGGAAGAAATGTCTGTTGATATTGCTCTGTAGTTTCACCTCTGTCCTCTGTTTTCATTATTCTGTGCAATATCATCATGGAAACTTTTGTCATTTGAAAGGCACATGGCATACTGCACAATAAGCTTTATGCTCATTCGGTCATTTAATCTAAGTGTTTTTCAGTGTGGATTTGGAACTACGGTCTGGGGAAATGCTGACTTATTGAATTTTTAATCCAATGCATAACTTTTTCTTTTTAAAGGAGAATTTAATAATCTAAAAATAAGTAATGGATCACTAGTTTGAGTAATTAATACATTCAAGTGAAACAAAATTCGGAAGATAGAAAAAGGGTTGCCACAAAAACATTTCCCTGCCATCTGTGTTTTGGTGACCTGCTCTCCCCCTCAGGGACAGTGAGTGTCCTGTGTGACCATCACAGGTCATCTGCCCTAGTCACATACTTTTACTTGAATGAGCGGAGGCATGCTATCCGAGCTGTTTTGAACATTTAAAACTGTAGCTACGGACCTTGGAAACCACTCCATGTCTACAGATGGACCTGCCCCTTCTTTTCAGTGACCTCAGTGTTCATAACGCAGATGTGACATGACTTAACCCATCTCTTACTGATGAAAAATATAGGTTGCTTCCAAGTCTTTTGCTTAATAATCTAAATGTTTGCTTTAGGCTCCGGAAAGCAGTGTGTGCCCTCTAGCCCCATATTTCCCTCTGAGGGGTCTTATTAAAAAAAATAAATAGTATTATTCAGAAGAAAAGGGGTCTGCCTTTTCTTCTGAATAATACTATTTATTTTGTGACTTTTCATTTTCATTGCCTGTTAGTGTAGTGTCACTGGGCAACCAACAACTGAATCTGTGCATCTTCATAGTTCCATGTTCTAGCCCTCCCCCACATGGGTTCGCTGCTTTTGCTGAAACCGCATCGGGAGAGCAGTGGCCTTGGCGTTAGAAGACTTGAGTCTTCATCCTGGCACTGCCCTGACCCTGGGTAGATCCACGAACCTTTCTTTATGGGTCTCAGACTTTCCATCTCGACAGACAGATGTAAGCCTTGTTTTTACAGGGCTGTGGAGAGGATTAACAGATGTACTTTCTGTTAGAATACATGCTCAGGGGTGGGTGGATAGCTTCTCCCTCACCTATTGGCCCCTCAAGAACATTCTAGATTTCCTCCTCTCTGCTGCCATCTGTTTTTCTCTCTTCCAGAATTGCACTGCAGTCTCTCCCTTGCTGACATTCCCCTCAGATCTAATAAGGACGTGACCACTTACCCCCAAGAAGTGGGGACTCCGGCTGCCCCTGTGGATGTGCCTGGGTCTGGTGTCTGGCTGACTTGGACCTGGGCCCCACCCCCACCATACTGTCACCTCCACTTGTAAAATCAACTCTAAACACAGGTGGCAAGTCAAATATCTACCAATTTAGAAAGAACGTGTCAGACTCAAACAATACACCCAGAAGTGGTCAGAGCTCCTCACCTGCAGGACAGCTGGACACCCTGTGGGCCCTTCATTGTTACTAGGTCCCTTGGTGAAAAGTGGACACAGCTTTGGGATGGATGAGGGAGACTTGCGGAGGCAGGAGGCATATTCCAGACACAGTGTGAGAGCCTCTGAGACCTAGAATCTACATCATCAATGTTAATCCTTGACACAGGGGGTGCTTGGCCCCCCCCACCCCATGCTCTCAGGAGCCACGTGGCCTGTCTTTGCACCAAAACTCCCCAGCCAGGCCCAGCTCTACCCTCTCTCCACCCCAGCTGCCCTGCAGCCCTTCCCTCTTGCCCTTTGATGTTTTGTAGGCCCGCAGTTCCCAAACAGAGGCATGATGGGGGAGAATGTCACCAAGGTCAGCACCTTCATCCTGGTGGGCTTCCCCACGGCCCCAGGGCTGCAGTACCTGCTCTTCCTCGTCTTCCTGCTCACCTACCTCTTTGTCCTGGTGGAGAACCTGGCTGTCATCCTCGCTGTCTGGAGCAGCACCCACCTCCACAGGCCCATGTACTACTTTCTGAGCTCCCTGTCTTTCCTGGAGCTCTGGTACGTGTCTGACATCATCCCCAAGATGCTGGAGGGCTTCCTGCTCCTGCGGAAATGCATCTCTTTTGTCGGGTGCATGACGCAGCTCTACTTCTTCAGCTCCCTGGTGTGTACCGAGTGCGTGCTCCTGGCCTCCATGGCCTACGACCGCTACGTGGCCATCTGCCACCCGCTGCGCTACCACGTCCTGGTGACCCCGGGGCTGTGCCTCCAGCTGGTGGGCTTCTCCTTTGTGAGCGGCTTCACTGTCTCCATGATCAAGGTCTATTTTATCTCCAGCGCCACGTTCTGTGGCTCCAACGTCTTGAACCACTTCTTCTGTGACATCTCCCCCATCCTCAAGCTGGCCTGCACGGACTTCTCCACTGCAGAGCTGGTGGATTTCATCCTGGCCTTCATCATCCTGGTGTTTCCGCTCCTGGCCACTGTGCTGTCATATGGGCACATCACCGTGGCCGTCCTGCGCATTCCCTCGGCCACCGGCCGCTGGAGAGCCTTCTCCACCTGTGCTTCTCACCTCGCCGTGGTCACCATCTTCTACATGGCCATGATTTTCATGTATGTCCGGCCTCAGGCCATTGATTCCCGGAGCTCCAACAAGCTCATCTCTGCTGTGTACACTGTCATCATGCCAATAATTAACCCTTTGATCTACTGCCTGAGGAACAAGGAATTTAAGGATGCCTTGAAAAAGGCCTTGAGTCAAACTTCACAGTAAGACAACTAAGTGTCCTAGAATAAAATCTGTAGTGATGAAACAACGTCATATACGGCTCTTTAAACTAATTTTTAACTGAAAGTAAACAAACCTACAGAACTGTGCACAAGTAATAAGACTTCACCTGCATGTGTTTTCACAAAAGGACCATACTCATGGAACCAGCTCCCAGATCAAGAACTGGAAGCTGTCTCCATGCCCTCTCCCAGTCATTATCCCTGCTCCACGAGAACCACTATCCTGACTTCCAAAACCAGATGCTAGCTTTGGTGTTTTTGAGAGGTTTACACATGTAATCATAAAGTATGTACCCTGTTATTTCAGCTTCTTTCATTCACCGCGCTGCTTGATGGATCTTTGATGTTTTCGCAGGTAACAATAATTCATGCATTCTCATTGCTGTCCAACATTCATAATACATAAGGCATTAACACTGTATAATACATAATGCCAAATACATTTACACTGTATAATACATCATGCATAATACACTTAGACTAGGGTAATACATACACTGAGATAATGCATATACTGTATTATGCACACGTAACACATTATGCTGGAGGAACCCCTGTCCTGCCTCTCCCAGCAGGGGCAAGCCACTGTGCTCAACCACAATGTATGTATCTAAACAGAGAAGAGGTAAGTAAAAATGTGATATTATAATCTTATGGGAACACCGTTTTATATGCTGCTCAGTTCATCATTGACCAAATGTTGTTATGTGGTACACAACTCTTATCAATTGAGAATATGTGTTGGCTTATTTCTGGACCCTCTGTTCTGTTAAGCTGATCTATGTATCTATCAATATCATACCCTTCTCCATACCACACAGTCTTGATTAATATCATTATGTAGTAATTCTTAACACTGGAAGAATGACTCCTCTCACTTCATTCTGTTTCAAAATTATTGTGGCTATTTCAGGGCCTTAATATTTTTATATAAATTTTATAATAAGCCTGTCTTATGTCTCCAAGAAAACCTTGCTGAGATTTTGCTAGAAATTCCATTAAACCTAAAAATCAATTTGGGAAGAAGTGACTTTATTACTCTGTTGAGTCTTTCAATCCATGAACATAGTAAGCCTCTCCAATTATTAATGTCTTCTTAATTTTTTTCATCAGTGTTTTGTACTTTTTAGAGTACAGATTCTGTATGGATTTAGATCTAAGTATTATATTTTCTGTGAAGAAACTGTAAATGGTATTCCATTTTTTATTTGTTTCCACCTGTTAGTTGTTAGTATATGGGATGCAGTTGATTTTCGTATATTGACATTGTATCCTGCAAACTTGCTGCACTCACTCATTAGGTCTAGGAATTTTTTGTAGATTCCTTTGGATTTTCCATGTGAACAGTCAGGTTCAACTAAAAAGAGACAGTTTTCTTTCTTTCTGGTCTGTATGAATTTTTTTTATTTTTTGCCTTACTGCATGAGTTATTACTAGAACTTTCAGGGCTCTGTTGAACAAGAGTGGGCAGAGCAGATATCCCTGCCTTGTTTCCTACGTAGCAAGCCCTCAGTCCTTCAGGATTAAGTACAATGATGCAGTTTCTGTGTATGTGCTTTATCAAGCTGAAGCAGCTCCCCTTTAGTCCTTATTTGCTGAGAGCAGATTTTGTTTCTATCATAAAGGAATATTTAATTTTGTCAAGCGATGCAGAAAACTGCATCAGGCATTCTGGCCATAGATTTTTCTTCTTTCTTCTGCTGATAGGGTGTATTACATTGGTTGATTTTCAAATTCCAGATTAGTCCTGCATCTTTTGAATAAATCACATTGGGTTGTGGTGTATTACTCATTTTATATAGTGTTGTATTCAATTTGCTAACTTGTTAACGATTTTTGTATCTAAGTTCATGAGAAATATTGGTTGATAGGGTTTTAAAGTTATTTTCATACTGTCTTTGTAAGGTTTTGGTATCATAAAACAAGTTGAAAAGCATTCACTCCTCTTCTATTTTCTGGGCAGGATTGTATAAAGTTGTTTAAACATTTGTTAAAATTTTCTAGTGAGATTATCTGGAACTGGGAATCCTCTTTGGCGGGTGTGTGTGTGTTAAAATTACAGATTGAACTTCTTTAATGGGTACGGGACTATTCAGGTTATCAAGCAGTTAACAGATTAGGGAATCACATCTGCCATTTTTTGTCTTGTTTTCTCTGCCTTTTTTCTTACCTTCCAATGGACAAAGTACATTTTTTTTTGGAGTTCCATCTTGATTTGCGATAATGTCTCAGGAAAGATCATTATATACAGTTTTCATAGTGGTTGCTCTACAGCATGCAGATGTAACTTCTCACAACCTATTTGGGTGGATGTTTTACTGCTTCAGGGGAAGTATTACAGATTTCTGTCATTTAGGTGATTTTACCCTCCCCATTTTCTATGCAGTGATTGTTATATTTCCTATATCTACAGTGAGCACTACATTAACAATGTTACAATATTTGTTTTAACCACCAAATATAATTTTAAAAACTCAGTAGGTGAGGGATAATTTATTATATTCTCCTCTATTTTACCTATTCTGTTGTTCTGAAGGCCCTAGCCTTCTTGTGCTATTTTCTGAATGTTTGAGAAGCTTCCTTCAGTCAAACTTTAAAGGGAGGAAGAGTCTGCTGGAGACAAATATCTTAGATTTTTCATCACCTGAGAATGCCTTCGTTTCCCTCATCCTCACTAACCACCAAAGAACGGTTTTGCTGAGTATAAAATTTGCTGCACAGGGGGGCTCATTGTCCCTCTCGATTGACAAGTCCTCCAACACCTCCAGCTGAGCCAGGCAGCATCAACCAGGAGCCCCACCTCCTCAGTCCTGAGGCCTTTGAATCCAGTTCCAGACGAGCATGTCCAGAGAGGAGAGGAGGCAGCGTGAGAAGTGCCCGACACAAGGAGCCAATTTCCAAAATGTAATGGTAGATAACAAATAATTCCATTTGGTGGAAATGTTTGAGAAACCTTAGGACAGTGGTGTCCGGTAATTATTCAGTTGTATATTCTGTTTCCTATGGTGATCGTTCTCCTTTTCCCATGCCATCAGTAAAAATTGAAACACTAGAATCTTGCCTTAGAAAATAAGATAAAGTTGTGTCTTCACCTGGGGTAAAGCTGGGAAAGACAACGGGACCTTCGGAGGCCAGATGTGGCTAGGATGGATAATAATCGAGATGAGAAAATCTGAAAACGCCCTCGCATCCCCCATTCATTTCTCAGAATTCTTAGAAACACTGAAAAAATATGCTGGACTTCCCAGAGATACAGAGATGTGGAGGGAGGCCTTGAGTCCTTCCATTTGAAGATAAGCTGTGACTCAGTGGGGCCGGAGGATTTGGGGCTATCTGGTTACACCGCCAGTTACATGTGTGTTCATACGACTCTCTTCGTGGCACATCTGTGATGCGTCAGGAGCTCTGCATGGGCCTGGGGCACAGTGGAGGATGTGGGCCTGGTCCCTGCTGCTGTTAAACGCGGTCCAGAACAGTATTTCTCTCATGCGGACTCTGCATCAGTTAGCTGAAAGCTTGTTAAATAGATTTCAGGGTCTCTCCACCATCTAAAAATCAGGCCCTCCTGCGTTGGGGACCGGGAATCCATATTTTTGACAAAAAGCAATTCTTCAATGATAGAAACATCCACAGAACCTTAGTTTGTACAACCGCATCCCCGCTGTTCTACGATTGCGCGATAATTTCTGAAAAGTTGAAACCCAAAGTTTAAGAACATCTCAGGGGTTAAGAACAAAAAGCTGGAGGCACACAGATCAC